GTAGGCTTTGACTTTAACATAGCTATTTCTGTGACCAGCCAATAAGCTGGTCCCTCGGCTGTTTCAATGCTAAATTCTCCTGTTTGATGTGTAAACTCCTTTGTCGGGGTACCTCACTTCTCTCACCCAGCGTTCATTGGAGCTCTGTCATCCCGACAGTTTTGTTCCTTCACCTTAATCCCTCTCACACAGCTTAAAGGCCGTGGTCTGAGCTTGGCTCTGTTTCACTCCAGCGCAGTCTTCGAGACAGTCTGGTCCCGTCACCTGATGAAGGCCGCTTGTGTTGTGGCCGAAACGTCGTGATTTTTGTTGTTTTATTTTTTACCTACGTGACTTTACCGAATAGAACCAAAGAGTATGTATAGTGTATTGTATAGTGGTGTAGTGTATAGTGGTGTAGTCTATAGTAGTGTAGTGTATAGTAGTGTATAGTGTTGTGTTTAATAGTGTATAGTAGTGTTGTGTATAGTACTGTAGTTTATAGTAGTGTTGTGTATAGTTGTGTAGTGTATAGAAGTGTAGTGTAGTAGTGTAGTTTCTAGTGTAGTGTTTCGCAGTAGTGAATAGTAGTGTATAGTAATATATAGTAGTCTATAGTGTAGTATATAGTCGTGTATAGTGTAGTGTATAGTGTAGTGTAGTAGTGTATAGTGTAGTGTATAGTGTAGTGCGTAGTGTATAGTATAGTGTAGTGTATAGTATAGTGTATAGTGGAGTGTGTAGTGTATAATTGGGTGTGTAGTGTATAATTGGGTGTGTAGTGTATAGTGGATTGTGTAGTGTAGTGTATAGTGTAGTGTCAAGTGTAGTGTATAGTGTAGTGTAGTAGTGTATAGTGTAGTGCGTAGTGTATAGTATAGTGTAGTGTATAGTATAGTGTAGTGTATAGTGTATAGTATAGTGTATAGTGTAGTGTATAGTATAGTGTAGTGTATTGTGTAGTGTATAGTGTAGTGTAGTAGTGTATAGTATAGTGTGTAGTGTATAGTATAGTGTGTAGTGTAGTGTATAGTGTAGTGTGTAGTGTAGTGTATAGTATAGTGTGTAGTGTATAGTGTATAGTAGTGTATAGTGTAGTGTATAATGTAGTGTATAGTGTAGTGTATAGTGCAGTGAATAGTGTAGTGTATTGTGTAGTGTATAGTGTAGTGTAGTGCGTAGTGTATAGTGTAGTGTATAGTGTAGTGTATAGTGTAGTGTATAGTGTAGTGTAGTGTATAGTGTAGTGTATAGTATAGTATATAGTGTAGTGTATAGTGGAGTGTGTAGTGTATAGTATAGTATATAGTGTAGTATATAGTAGAGTATAGTGTGTGGTGTATAGTGTAGTGTAGTCACCTTCTTGAGCAGGCTGTAGATGTCCATCTCAACCTGCATGACGAAGAGCTCCGAGGAGGAGACCACCAGGTCCATGAGGTCCACACTGACACAGACAGAGACAGAGAGACACGGACAGAGAGATACACAGAGAGACAGAGAGAGATACACATCACACAGAGAGACACGGACAGAGAGATACACAGAGAGACAGAGAGAGACAGAGAGAGACACGGACAGAGAGACACGGACAGAGAGACAGAGATACACATCCCACAGAGAGACACAGACAGAGAGATACACAGAGAGACAGAGAGAGACAGAGACACAGAGACACACAGAGAGACAGAGAGACACGGACAGAGAGATACACATCACACAGACAGAGACAGAGAGACACGGACAGAGAGATACACATCACACAGAGAGACACGGACAGAGAGAGACAGAGAGACACAGACAGAGAGACACAAACAGAGAGATACACATCACACAGAGAGACACAGAGAGACAGAGAGAGACAGAGAGACACAGACAGAGAGATACACATTACAGAGAGAGACGGAGAGATGCACATACAGAGACAGAGAGACACAGAGACAAAGACACAGAGAAAAAGACAGAGAGACACACACACATATATACAGAGAGGGAAATGGAGACAGAGAGAGACAAGAAACAGACACAGAGACATAAAGACAGACACAGAGACAGACACAGAGAGAGACAGAGAGATACACATCACACAGAGAGACAGAGAGACATGGACAGAGAGATACACATCACACAGAGAGACACAGAAACAGGTAGAGAGACAGACAGAGAGAGACAGAGACAGACAGAGAGACACAGAGACAGATAGAGAGACAGACATAGAGAGACAGAGATAGAGAGAGAGACAGAGAGAGACAGTCAGAGAGAGACAGAGACATTACACTAAGAACAGCATGTGAAGTGTTGCATGTTCTCTGACGGCAGGTCACAGCACAGACTCTGCAGGTGCCATGGGTTGACTGCTGCTGTGCCAGGCTAGGTGCACGAGGTCACAGGGCAGACCCAGCAGGTGCTATGGGTTGTTCTGCTGCTGTTCTAGGGTCGGTGCACTCAGCTGTGCCAGGCTAGGTGCACCCAGGGGTACCTGATCTCCTTGAGTAGCTCTGTGCTTGGCTGAGTCATCAAGTTGTGGTGGAGCCAAGAAAGACACCTGCACACCCAGTACCACACAGTACCAGTGAGTACCACGCAGTACCAGTGAGTACCACACGGTACCAGTGAGTACATGTATGTGTATACGTGTGTGTTCTGTATGTGTATCTGTATGTGTGTAAGTGTATGTATGTGTGTGTCTGTATGTATGTACATGTATGTGCATACATGTGTATTATGTATGTGTGTCTGTATGTGTTTACGTGTATGTATGTGTGTGTATGTATGTGTGTGTCTGTGTGTGTCTGTGTGTAGTGTAGCGGTTAGCGCGCTGCGCTATGAACCTGGCCACCCGGGTTCGAGTCCCGCTCATGATCAACACCAGTGACGATTATCTGAACCGGTCCCCGGCATCCCCTAGGTCGACTCAGCCTCAAATGAGTACCCGGTGCGGTGTGTAAACATCTCCACTGGGGAGACAAAGGCGGTCGGGCGTGGTGCTGGCCACCCACCCCCTCGTGTGCCATGCCAGCCTTTATAGGTGCTCGCTAACAGCACTTGCCCCTACAGTCTTTGAAGGCTATACGGAGGATCTTTATACGTGTGTGTGGGTAGTGCGTATCTGAATGTACGTGTGTCTGTATGTATGCAAGTACGTGTATACGTGTGTGTGTATCTGTATGTACGTGTGTATGTGTGTACGTGTGCATCTCTTACGAGCTGGCTAGCGCGCTCTGCCCGTAGGTGAGTGCCGCTTGGTGAAATCTGCAGACCAAGCGGCTGGAGAGGCAGTCCTGCATAGCCTCTACACAGCGCTGCATCAGACCCTCCTACTCCACACACACAGACACACACAGATACACAACAACAACCGCCATTCACCACTAAGTGGCGGTGACGTCACCACGACGCTTGTGCCAAGCTATGTGCACGTTGAGGCCACGTGAAGTGTCGAATGCCCGCTGGCAGGAGGTCACTGGGCAGACCCTGCAGGTGCCACGGGTCGACTGAATGAGATGACTGACTGATGCATAACCTGTGCTCCCTACTGTGCCAACTTGCTGTGCTTTAACCACCCGGAGCTCCGCTCATTGTTGTGAGCGTCGCTCCTCCGCCCTCCGTTCTTGTTGGAGGGCGACTGCCTCCAACTGCCCAGTAGCGTCCTTCACGAGCTTCCTCCACAGAGGCCGATCTTGACACCGCCGGTACCAATCATCGGCAAATTCACTCAGTTCCACATCCTCCTGTACCACATCATTCCATCTTTCCTCTGCCGGAGGAGCTCACCGATGGGACTTTGTCCAGATCTTTCAAGGATTTGTGAGCTCCTCACACAATCCAGCCTGGTTAAACCCAGGATGGATGTTTCTAACCGGCGAAGATGTTCCATTAGGGGGGTCCACGTTTCGCAAGCATAGAGAAGGGAGGGAATGACTGTGGCCGAGAAGACCTGAAGCGTCGTGCGGAGCAACAGACCAGGTAGCTTCCACACAGCGTTACGCAACCGATGAAAAGATAATGCAGCTTGACTGATTCGGAGTGAGACCTCTGCTGTTAAACTGGAGCCGGTCATAAGCACACTGCCCAGGTATGGGAAACTCTCCACTCTCTCCACAACTGCCCCATCACCAATTGGGAGTTGTGGGGGTGGAGTGTCCGATGGTAGTTTTGGTGGGGCTGATGGTAAGGCCCCACCTCTTAGTGGCAAGCTCCAGGTTCAGCAGCAGCGCCTCAAACTCCTCCTCTGAGTGAGCAGCAATTACCAGATCATTGGCATACATAACATGGTTGAGCAATAGGGAGCCCTCACTTGACCGCACCAGGGCATCGATCAGCCTCCCACACAGGTATACACACACAAATACAAAGATCTCCCATATAGACTTAACAGACTATAGGGGCAAGTGCTGTTAGCGAGCACCTATTAAGGCCAGCACGGCACACAAGGAGGTGGGTGGCCAACACCACGCCCGGCCGCCTTTGTCTCCCCAGTGCGATGTTTACACATCGCACCAGCTACTCATTTGAGGTTGAGTCGACCTAGGGGAGGCCCAGGGCCAGTTCAGATAATCGTTACTGGTGTTCGCCGTGAGCGGGAATCCAATCCGGGTCGCCAGGTTCGTAGCGCAGCGCGCTAACCGCTACACACACGCACAGATACACACACAGATACGCACACATCCATGATCTATGTGTATCTGAGCATATGTATGTGCGTGTATGTATATGTATGTGTTTGATTCTGTGTATATATGCATATGTATGTGTGTGTATGTGTGTGTATGTGTGTATCTCAAGAGCTGCAGTAGGCTGGCCACATCCAGCAGTGGCATGGCTCACTGTGTGTATGTATGTTTGTATGCATATATGTGTGTGTGCATGTGTGTGTATGTATGGGTGGCTAAAGCACAGCAGGTTGGCAAGTAGGGGGCACAGGTGGTGCATCAGCCAGTTATCTCAGTCAGTCGACCCGTGGCACCTGGGTCTGCCCCGTGACCTCCTGCCAGCGGGCGTTCGACACTCCACGTGGCCTCAAGGTGCACATGGCCTGGCACAAGCGTCGTGGTGACGTCACCGCCACTTAGTGGCGAATGGCGGTTGTTGTTGTTGTGTATGTGTGTGTGTATACATGTGTATGTGTGTGTATCTGTATGTGTGTATGTATCTCACGAGCTGGAGTAGGCTGGCCATGGCCAGCAGTGGCATGGCTCACTGTGTGTATGTATATGTGTATATGTATATGTGTGTGTGTATGCATGTGTATGTGTGTGTGAAAGTGCATGTGTGTATCTGTGTGTATCTCACGAGCTGGAGTAGGCTGGCCACAGCCAGCAGTGGCACGGCTCGCTCCGTCTGGATGAGGACATCATCCCGGTACAGAGACCCAAATGCCGTCTGGAGCGCTGCGCGCACACAGACAAAGGTCCACCGGGTAGCCTTCAACAGGGCTGCAGGGGCAAGTGCTGTGAGTAGCACCTGGCAAAGGAGTTGAGCCTATGGGTGTCTCAGTGTTGAGTCTATGGGTCTCAGTGTTGAGTCAGTAGATATCTTAGTGTTAAGTGAATCTATGGGTGTCTCAGTGTTGAGTCTATGGGTGTCTCAGTGTTGAGTCTATGGGTGTCTCAGTGTTGAGTCTATGGGTCTCAGTGTTGAGTCAATAGATATCTTAGTGTTGAGTGAGTCTATGGTGTCTCAGTGTTGAGTCTATGGTGTCTCAGTGTTGAGTCAATAGATATCTTAGTGTTGAGTGAGTCTATGGGTGTCTCAGTGTTGAGTCTATGGGTGTCTCAGTGTTGAGTCAATAGATATCTTAGTGTTGAGTGAGTCTATGGGTGTCTCAGTGTTGAGTCAATGGGTGTCTCAGTGTTGAGTCTATGGGTCTCAGTGTTGAGTCAGTAGATATCTTAGTGTTGAGTGAGTCTATGGGTCTCAGTGCTGAGTATATGGGTGTCTCAGTGTTGAGTCAGTAGATACCTTAGTGTTGAGTGAGTCTATGGGTCTCAGTGCTGAGTCTATGGGTGTCTCAGTGTTGAGTCTATGGGTGTCTCAGTGTTGAGTGAGTCTATGGGTCTCAGTGTTTAGTCTATGGGTGTCTCAGTGTTGAGTCTATGGGTGTCTCAGTGTTGAGTCTATGGGTGTCTCAGTGTTGAGTCTAAGGGTGTCTCAGTGTTGAGTCTATGGGTGTCTCAGTGTTGAGTCTATGGGTCTCAGTGTTGGGTCAATAGATATCTTAGTGTTGAGTGAGTCTATGGGTGTCTCAGTGTTGAGTCTATGGGTGTCTCAGTGTTGAGTCTATGGGTGTCTCAGTGTTGAGTCAATATATATATCTTAGTGTTGAGTGAGTCTATGGGTGTCTCAGTGTTGAGTCTATGGGTGTCTCAGTGTTGAGTCTATGGGTCTCAGTGTTGAGTCGGTAGATATCTTAGTGTTGAGAGAGTCTATGGGTCTCAGTGCTGAGTCTATGTGTGTCTCAGTGTTGAGTCAGTAGATATCTTAGTGTTGAGTGAGTCTATGGGTCTCAGTGCTGAGTCTATGGGTGTCTCAGTGTTGAGTCTATGGGTGTCTCAGTGTTGAGTGAGTCTATGGGTCTCAGTGTTGAGTCTATGGGTGTCTCAGTGTTGAGTCTATGGGTGTCTCAGTGTTGAGTCTATGAGTGTCTCAGTGTTGAGTCTATGGGTGTCTCAGTGTTGATTCTATGGGTGTCTCAGTGTTGAGTCTATGGGTGTCTCAGTGTTGAGTCTATGGGTGTCTCAGTGTTGAGTCTATGGGTGTCTCAGTGTTGAGTCTATGGGTGTCTCAGTGTTGAGTCAATATATATATCTTAGTGTTGAGTGAGTCTATGGGTGTCTCAGTGTTGAGTCTATGGGTGTCTCAGTGTTGAGTCTATGGGTGTCTCAGTGTTGAGTCTATGGGTCTCAGTGTTGAGTCGGTAGATATCTTAGTGTTGAGAGAGTCTATGGGTCTCAGTGCTGAGTCTATGTGTGTCTCAGTGTTGAGTCAGTAGATATCTTAGTGTTGAGTGAGTCTATGGGTCTCAGTGCTGAGTCTATGGGTGTCTCAGTGTTGAGTCTATGGGTGTCTCAGTGTTGAGTGAGTCTATGGGTCTCAGTGTTGAGTCTATGGGTGTCTCAGTGTTGAGTCTATGGGTGTCTCAGTGTTGAGTCTATGAGTGTCTCAGTGTTGAGTCTATGGGTGTCTCAGTGTTGATTCTATGGGTGTCTCAGTGTTGAGTCTATGGGTGTCTCAGTGTTGAGTTTATGGGTCTCAGTGTTGAGTCTATGGGTGTCTCAGTGTTGAGTCTATGGGTGTCTCAGTGTTGAGTCTATGGGTGTCTCAGTGTTGAGTTTATGGGTCTCAGTGTTGAGTCTATGGGTGTCTTAGTGTTGAGTCTATGGGTCTCAGTGTTGAGGTCTATGGGTGTCTTAGTGTTGGAGTCTATGGGTCTCAGTGTTGAGTCTATGGGTGTCTCAGTGTTGAGTCTATGGGTGTCTCAGTGTTGAGTCTATGGGTGTCTCAGTGTTGAGTCTATGGGTGTCTCAGTGTTGAGTCTATGGTTGTCTCAGTGTTGAGTTCATGGGTCTCAGTGTTGAGTCTATGGGTGTCTTAGTGTTGAGTCTATGGGTCTCAGTGTTGAGTCTATGAGTGTCTCAGTGCTGAGTCTATGGGTGTCTCAGTGCTGAGTCTATGGATGTCTTAGTGTTGAGTGAATCTATGGGTCTCAGTGTTGAGTCTATGGGTGTCTTAGTGTTGAGTCTATGGGTCTCAGTGTTGAGTCAATGGGTGTCTTAGTGTTGAGTCTATGGGTCTCAGTGTTGAGTCAATGGGTGTCTTAGTGTTGAGTCAATGGGTCTCAGTGCTGAGTGAGTCAATGGGTGTCTTAGTGTTGAGTTTATGGGTCTCAGTGTTGAGTCAATGGGTGTCTTAGTGTTGAGTCTATGGGTCTCAGTGTTGAGTCAATGGGTGTCTTAGTGTTGAGTCTATGGGTCTCAGTGTTGAGTCAATGGGTGTCTTAGTGTTGAGTCTATGGGTCTCTATGGGTGTCAGTACTGAGTGAGTCAATGGGTGGTTCAGTGCTGAGTAAGTCTATGAGTGTCTCAGTGCCGAGCGAGCGAGCCAGCGAGCCTCCCACCTTCCACGTCGATGGCCGCGTCCGGGATCTGCAGGGTCACCTCCTCGGCGCTTGACTCCTTCCACGAGCCGCTGAACATGCTGCCGAAGTACGGTGACTGCAGCGCACAGACACAAAGACCCCCACCACCACCCCCCACAGCGTAGCCTTAGCAGCACCCCTTGCGATTCCGGCAACAAAACGCGTCAAGACGTTAAAAACCGCCTAAGCTTCCCCTTTGGTCCACAACGCAGGTATTTTTTTTTGGGGGGGGGGGGGGGGGTAGTTTAGATCGCGTAAAGCGTACAAACGTCGTGTCGTCAAACCCCCGCCACCCGACGCGGCCGATTAGCAAGGGTTATTATCACTTAAACAGAACGTTGCCGATTCGTCACTAGTACAGCACTAGCACATAGAGTAGTGGTGTAGTGTGTGGTGTAGTGTATAGTAGTGTATAGTAGTGTATATTAGTGTATAGTGGTGTAGTGTATAGTAGTGTAGTGTATAGTGTAGTGTTATTAGTGTAGTGTATGGTGCAGTGTATAGTAGTGCAGTGTATAGCAGTGTATAGTAGTGTATAGTGTAGTATACTAGTAACGACTTGGCCACGTTCTGTTTACGTGACATTAACCCTTACTCACTAGCTGTGTCGGGTGGTGGCAGGTTCAACGACACAACATTTATATATTCACGCGATTCAACCCCCCCAAAAAAAAACGTACTGTGGATATCTCTCGCGTAAGCCTCCTACGTGTTAAGAATCCTTGCTGTAGGAATCCTGTTGCTGCATTAACCCGCACTGTACTTGTGGCGAACCGTGCAAAAAAATAAAAAACACGCTCCGATAATAATTATATATGATGGCATTGTCTTTGAAGCCGATTGGTCCACACACACACACACCATATAGCTTTCTCTAGAGCCTGTTTTATATGCCGGGAAAGGGTAAAACCCATTGTTGCATTTTCATGCCGGCACGAAAGGCCCCATATTCTTAACAGACCTGTCAGGGAAAGTGCCGTTAGTGAGTAGCAGCAGCAGCAGCGCCTATGAAGGCTACCGCACTGTGGCACACACAGAGGGGGTGGGTGGCCAGCACCACGCCGGGCCACCTTTGTCTCCCCAGTGGCGATGTTTAATCCACGCCATGGCACCAGGCACTTATTTGAGGCTGAGTCGACCTATAAAAGGCCCAGGATCGCTTCAGAAAATCGTCACCGGTGTTGGTGGCTGTGAGCGGGAATCGAACTCTGGTCGCCGAGTTCGTTGCACAGCGCGCTAATCGCTACACTACCACTCCCGACACGAATGCAGACAGACACACACACACATAAAGACACAGACACACACACAGACACACACAGAGACACAAAGACAAAGATCCCCCGTATAGCCTTAACAGACTGTAGGGGCAAGTGCTGTTAGCGAGCACCTATGAAGGCCGAAACGGTACACGAGGGGGTGGGTGGCCAGCACCACGCCCGACCGCCTTTGTCTCCCTAGTGACGATGTTTACACACCGCACCAGGTACTCATTTGAGGCTGAGTCGACCTAGGGGAGGCCCGGGACCAGTTCAGATAATCGTCACTGGTGTTGGCCGTGAGCGGGAATCGAACCCGAGTCGCCAGGTTCATAGCGCAGCACGCTAACCGCTACACTATCGCTCCCCACACAGACACACACACAGACACACACACACAGTTCACCTGGCACAAGTAAATCTTGTGCAGGTTCCACGTTTGTCCCAGAGCCGTGATCTTGATGTCGCTGTTCTCCCCGTGGAGGAAGAGAGTCTTGTATATGTATACAGAGGTACAGCGGGACCTCTTCCTGTACATACACACATAGAGACACATACACAGACATATATACACAGATACATACACACAAGATATGCATACAGAGATATGCACAGAGATACATACACAGAGACACCTACACAGAGATACACGGAGAAAAACAGAGAGATACACAGATATACAGAGATACACATGGACACATACAGAGACCCACAGACTCACTTCTACACAGAGACCCACAGACTCACTTCCACACAGAGACTCACAGACTCAATTCTACACAGAGACCCACAGACTCACTTCTACACAGAGACCCACAGACTCACTACTACACAGAGACCCATAGACTCACCACACAGAGACACACAGACTCACCACACAGAGACCCACAGAGTCACCACACAGAGACACACAGACTCATCACACAGAGACCCACAGACTCACCACACAGAGACCCACAGACTCATCACACAGAGACCCATAGACTCACCACACAGAGACCCATAGACTCACCACACAGAGACCCATAGACTCACTACTACACAGAGACCCATAGACTCACCACACAGAGACCCACAGAGTCACCACACAGAGACACACAGACTCAGCACACAGACCCATAGACTCATCACACAGAGAACCATAGACTCATCTCAAATAGACCCATAGACTCACCACACAGAGATCCATAGACTCATCACGCAGAGACCCAAAGACTCATCACACAGAGACCCATAGACTCACCACACAGACACCCACAGACTCATCACACAGAGACCCACAGACTCATCACACAGAGAACCACATACTCACCACACAGAGACCCATAGACTCATCACGCTGAGACCCACAGACTCATCACACAGAGACCCATAGACTCATCACAAATAGACCCACAGACTCACCACACAGAGATCCATAGACTCATCACGCAGAGACCCATAGACTTATCACACAGAGACCCACAGACTCACCACACAGAGACCCATAAACTCATCACGCAGAGACCCACAGACTCATTACAAATAGATCCATAGACTCACTACTACACAGAGACCCATAGACTCACTACTACACAGAGACCCATAGAATCACCACACAGAGACCCATAGACTCACTACTACACAGAGACCCATAGACTCACCACACAGAGACCCATAGACTCACTACTACACAGAGACCCATAGACTCACCACACAGATACTCTCCCGGGACCTCAAGTGGGAATTGAACATCAGCTCCCTCACCAAGAAAGCTCAACAGAGGATGTACTTTCTACGGCAGCTGAAGAAATTCAACCTGCCAAAGACAATGATGGTGCAATTCTATACAGCGATCATTGAATCCATCCTCACCTCCTCCATAACCGTCTGGTACGCTGCTGCCACTGCCAAGGACAAGAGCAGACTGCAGCGTATCATCCACACTGCTGAGAAGGTAATTGCCTGCAATCTACCGACCCTCGAGGACCTGCACACGACAAGGTCTATGAGGCGAGCGAGGAAGATTATGGCCGATTTCTCCCACCCTGGACACTCTCTGTTTCAGCTACTCCCCTCCGGCAGAAGGCTTCGGTCCATCAGGACCAAAACCTCACGCCATAAAAACAGTTTCTTCCCATCTGCTGCTGGCCTGTTAAACAAGGCCAAGGGCTAACACTGTTTTTAACATTTGATCTACATAACGACACGTTGCTGATATTAACTATGTTTCCCTATTTGTATTTTTAAATTATATCTTAAAGCTATTTTATATTCGATATTTATTTAATTTTATATACTTCAGCCCTTAGTGTTAGACTTTTAACCCTTATTATAGTAAGACTTGTTTAAAACTTATTTAAGATTTTAGATTCCTATATGTTGAATGTATGCACCATCCTGCCAAAGTAAATTCCGTGTCGGTGTGAACTTACATGGCGAATAAAACCCTTTCTGATTTCTGACATATCACACAGAGACCCATAGACTCACTACTACACAGAGACCCATAGACTCACTACTACACAGAGACCCATAGAATCACCACACAGAGACCCATAGACTCACTACTACACAGAGACCCATAGACTCACCACACAGAGACCCATAGACTCACTACTACACAGAGACCCATAGACTCACCACACAGAGACCCACAGACTCACCACACAGAGACCCATAGACTCACTACTACACAGAGATACACAGACTCACCACATAGAGACCCACAGACTCACCACACAGAGACTCACAGACTCTCCACACAGAGACCCATAGACTCATCACACAGAGACCCATAGACTCATCACACAGAGACCCATAGACTCACCACACAGAGACACATAGACTCATCACACAGAGACACATAGACTCACCACACAGAGACCCATAGACTCACCACACAGAGACACACAGACTCACCACAGAGACACACAGACTCACCACACAAAGACCCATAGACTCACCACACAGAGACTCATAACACCGAGACCCACAAAACGCAATATCTCCCACGTCAACCCGCGAAACCCACTCGCTCGTGACGACGACGCTTTAAAACACATATAAACAGTTATATTAAAAACTATAAACGTAAATATTCATAAGTAAAAAAAAAAATCCCCGTAGACAAGGCCGAAGCCCACGGCCTCGGCTAGCGCCACCTGCGGGGTCCCCGCGGCTCCTCCTCCGCCTCCGACGAGTCCGACTCGGGGTCTCCCCCGGGCTCGCGGAGCCTCCGCGGTCGTGGCCTCTTCCGCTTGCGGCCACACTCGCAGCCGCCTCCGCCGCCGCCGCCGCCGCCGAGACGCTCGCGGAAAGCGGCGGCGATGTTGCCCATCAAAGCGAGTTAAAGGTTTATTTTAAATTGTTGTTGTTTCAATTAAAAAAAATAAGTTTAAAAAAATTAACAAAAAAATGTAATCTCCTCAGCGGTTTAGGCCGCGTCTCCGGCCGCCATCTTGGGTAGGGGGTGTGTAGGGGGGCTTGTAGGACGGCCTCAGTGCGCATGCGCGTTACATACAGACACAGACAAAGGCCCCCAGGTAGCCTCCTGCAGGGCTGTAGGGGCAAGTGTAGTGTTAAATACAGACAAAGGTCTCCCAGGTAGCCTCCTGTAGGGCTGTAGGGGCAAGTGTAGTGTTACATACAGACAAAGGTCTATACTCTTTGGTTCTATTGGGTAAAGTCACGTAGGTAAAAAATAACAAAAATCACGACGTTTCCGCCACAACACAAGCGGCCTTCATCAGGTGAAGGGACGAGACTGTCTGGAGGACAGCGCTGGAGTGAAAAAAGCCACGCTCAGATCACGACCTTTAAGCTGTGTGAGAAGAAACAAAGCGCCTTGACAAAGGAATTAGCATATAATTTAGCATTGAAATGGCTAATTGAAATAGCTAAGTTAAAGTATACACATCCGCAGAGGTACCCCTTGACAAAGGAATTTGCATAGAATTTAGCATTGAGATAGCTGAGTGATTAGCTTGTAACTGGTCACAGAAATAGCTATGTTAAAGTTAGAGCATATACATTCACCGAGGCACCTAGTACAAATCAAACAGGAGAATTTAGCGAAACACAACCACGCTCAGACCGCGGACCTTTAAACTGTGTGCGAGCAAACAAGGTGTCCTGACAAAGAAATTAGCATAAAAAATAGCATTTGATTGGCCTATTGATGGTGTGAAAAGGGAATTTATAAGAGCTGCGAAAGTTTGGGGTACCACTACTTGAAAAATATACTGTACCATTGAAATTAGTTTAATGTTTAGTTCGATTTAGAACCTCTTTAAACTAATTTCAATGGTACAGTATATTTTTCAAGTAGTGGTACCCCAAACTTTCGCAGCTCTTATAAATTCCCTTTTCACACCATCAATAGGAAAAACTCCCCCCCCCCCGCGCCAAACGGCAAGTCCACCGGCACGTACACCACCTCTTTTCTAAAATCGGCCAATCAAATGCTATTTTTTATGCTAATTTCTTTGTCAGGACACCATGTTTGCTCGCACACAGTTTAAAGGTCCGCGGTCTGAGCGTGGTTGTGTTTCGCTAAATTCTCCTGTTTGATTTGTACTAGGTGCCTCGGTGAATGTATATGCCAGGGGTCGGGAACCTATGGCTCGCGAGCCAGATGTGGCTCTTTTGATGATTGCATATGGCTCGCAGATAAAACAAAATATTCTCACTTGTTTTAATCCATCCATCGATTTTTCACTGCGCATGTCCTGTTCAGGGCTGCAGGAGCAATTGTCCATTATTTAATTGGATGATACTGGCCTACGTTTGCCGTTGCTGGGTAAAACAGGTAAACGCCCCCTTTTGAATCAGTCTGAGACTGCGTCTGCTCGGTCATTAGCTCAAAGCTAACCCTTCGACGAAGAAGATGGCGAAAAGAAAAAAAGACGACGAGTATCGTACATTTCAGGACGAATGGACCGAAGAATTCGCCTTTGTGGAGAGAGCGGGTTCTGCGGTGTGTTTAATTTGCAATGACAAAATTACATCGTTGAAATGGTCGAATGTAAAGCGGCACTTCGACACGCGCCACGCTACCTTTGCATCAAAATACCCTGCGGGAGACAGCAGAAAGAAAGCGTGCCAAGAGCTTCTGAGCAGGGTGCAAGCTAGCCAGCAGCAACTCCGCGTATGGACCCGGCAAGGTGACTATAATTCGGCTAGCTTTGCTGGTTCTTTAGCAATAGTGAGGAACGGAAAACCATTCACAGATGGCGAGTATGCTAAAACGTTCATGCTGGATGTAGCCAATGAACTTTTTGATGATCTTCCGAACAAAGACAAGATAATCAAACGGATACAAGACATGCCTCTGTCGGCAAGAACTGTTCATGATCGTACCATCGTGATGGCAAACAAAGTGGAGGAAACGCAAGTGAAGGACATAAATGCAGCGCCGTTCTTTTCTCTGGCTTTGGATGAGTCAACAGACGTGAGCCATTTGTCGCAGTTCAGCGTGATTGCAAGATATGCTGTTGGTGACACACTGCGCGAAGAAAGTCTTGCTGTTCTGCCATTAAAAGGGTCCACAAGAGGTGAGGATTTATTCAAGTCTTTCATGGAGTTTGCTCAAGAAAAAAGTCTACCTATGGATAAACTTCTCTCAGTGTGTACTGATGGTGCTCCGTGTATGGTGGGGAAAAACAAAGGATTTGTGGCGCTTCTCCGTGAACATGAAAATAGACCCATCCTAAGTTTCCATTGCATTATACACCAGGAGGCACTTTGTGCTCAGATGTGTGACAGGCAGTTTGGCGAAGTGATGTCGCTGGTCATTCGTGTGATCAACTTTATTGTTGCCCGAGCCTTAAATGATCGCCAGTTTAAAACACTGCTGGATGAAGTTGTAAATAACTATCCTGGTCTGCTTTTGCACAGCAATGTGCGTTGGTTGTCAAGAGGGAAGGTGCTTAGCCGTTTTGCGGCTTGCCTGAACGAAATGCGGACTTTCCTTGAAATGAAAGGCGTCAGGCATCCTGAGCTAGCCGACACCGAGTGGCTCCTCAAGTTTTACTATCTCGTAGATCTGACTGAACATCTGAACCAGCTCAACGTGAAAATGCAAGGCATTGGAAATACAGTGTTATCCCTTCAACAAGCTGTATTTGCTTTTGAAAACAAGCTGGAGCTTTTCATCACGGATCTTGAAACAGGTCGTTTACTACATTTTGAAAAACTGAGCCAATTTAAAGATGCATGCACAGCAAGTGAGCCCATTCAAAACCTTGATCTCCACCAGCTAGCTGGCTGCACATCCAGTCTCCTACAGTCCTTCAAAGCACGCTTTGGAGAATTTCGTGAGCACACTCGTCTTTTTAAGTTCATCACCCATCCAAACGAGTGTTCACTGAACACAGCCGACCTGAATTACATCCCTGGTGTCTCCGTCAGATATTTTGAAGCAGAAGTGGCTGACCTGAAGGCCTCAGACATGTGGGTGAATAAGTTCAAGTCACTGAATGAAGATTTGGAAAGAATCACACGACAGAAAGCGGAGTTGGCGAGCAAGCACATGTGGACAGAAATGAAAAAACTCCAACCCGAAGACCAGCTGATTCTCAAAACTTGGAACGCGCTTCCTGTCACATACCACACACTGCAGCGTGTGAGTATTGCTGTATTGACCATGTTTGGATCTACGTATGCATGTGAGCAGTAATTCTCACATTTTAAAAACATGAAGTCCAACCTACGATCACGTTTAACGGATGAAAGCCTCAACGCTTGCATGAAGCTTAACCTCACCAAGTACCAACCCGACTACAAAGACATCAGCAAATCCATGCAGCACCAGAAGTCGCATTAATGGTGAGTGTTATAACATTATTTAAAAGAATAAATTCAGAGGCTTATTATACTGACATTTAGTTGAATTCACTTTTAAAATATATTATATGGCTCTCACTGAAATAAATTTCCAATTTTTTTGCTTTCATGGCTCTCTTAGTCAAAAAGGTTCCCGACCCCTGGTATATGCTCTGACTTTAACATAGCTATTTCTGTGACCAGTTACAAGCTAATCACTCAGCTATCTCAATGCTAAATTCTATGCTAATTCCTTTGTCAAGGGGTGCCTCTGCGGATGTGTATACTTTAACTTAGCTATTTCAATTAGCCATTTCAATGCTAAATTATATGCTAATTCCTTTGTCAAGGCGCTTTGTTTTTTCTCACACAGCTTAAAGGTCGTGATCTGAGCGTGGCTTTTTTCACTCCAGCGCTGTCCTCCAGACAGTCTCGTCCCTTCACCTGATGAAGGCCGCTTGTGTTGTGGCCGAAACGTCGTGATTTTTGTTATTTTATTTTTTATCTACGTGACTTTACCCAATAGAACCAAAGAGTATGGATCCTAGCAGTCACGAAAGCTTTAAATCTAGAATAAACAAAGGTCTCCCAGGTAGCCTCGAGAATGGATGTAGGGGCAAGTGCAGTGAATTGTGGCGCGTAGTAGCACCTAACACGGACAAAGCTCCCCCAGCGTGACTCTCACATAATGTAGGGGCAAGTGCTGTTAGTAGCGAGTAGCAGCACTTAGCGCAGACAAAGATCCCCCGTGTAGCCTCTTACAGAATGTTGGGGCAAGTGCTGTTAGTAGTAGCGAGTAGCAGAAACTACCACAGACAAAGCTCCCACAGGCAGCCTCTATCAGGGCGTAGGGACAAGTGCTGTGAGTAGTGGCGAGTAGCAGCACCTACCACAGACAAAGGTCCCACAGGTAGCCTTTAACAGGCTGTAGGGGCAAGTGCTGTTAGCGAGCAGCAGCAGCGGCGCCGATGAAGGCTACCGACACTGTGGCACACATAGAGGGGGTGGGTGGCCAGCACCACGCCCAGCCGCCTTTGTCTCCCCCAGTGCAAGCGATGTTCACTACACACCACACTGCACCAGGTACTCGTCTGAGGCGAGGTGCACTTTGAAGCCACGTGAAGTGTCGAAACGCCCGCTGGCAGGAGGTCACGGGACAGACCCTGCAGGTGCCATCGGTCGACTGACTGAGATGACCGGTAGATGCACCACCAGTTGTGCCCCCTACAGTGCCAACTCGCTGTGTTTTATTCGCCCGGCGCTCCGCTCGTTGTTGTGAGCGTCGCTCCTCCACCCTCCGTTGTTTTTGCTGGAGGGCGACTGCCTCCAACTGCCCAGTAGCGTCCTTCACGAGCCTCCTCCACGGAGGCCGATCTTGACACCGCTGGTACCGGTCATCGGCAAGTCCACTCAACTCCACATCACTCCATCTCTTATCTAGCCCGTGCCAACCACCCACTCACCCACTCACTCACTCACCCACTCACCAACCACCCACTCACCAACCACCCACTCACCCACCCACCCACTCACCCACCCACTCACCCACACACTCACAGACCCACCCACTCACTCACCCACTCACCCACTCACTCACTCATCCACCACCCACTCACTCACCCACCCACTCACTCATCCACTCACGCACCCACCCCACTCACTCACCCACACACTCACAGACCCACTCACTCACTCACCCACTCACCCA